GCAGGAATTTCCAACCACAGCTATGGAATATTTGCAGAGGCACGAATCAAATGCAAAGGTAAAAGCAGAATTTGAAGTTGGCTTTGAAAGGGCATAGTGAAAATAATAATAAAAAACTCTAACCTCAGAACCGAATAAAAACATTAGCAGCTTCAGCCATAAAGTATACCATCTAGGCTGAGGGGAGAAGAAGGAGAATTAGTGTAATAGAAGCAGAAGTAGGAACTAGTTTTGGAGACTGATTTGCACCTCTGACAGGTTGAAGAGACATAAATCACAGAAAATTTACTGGTTCTCTCTGTATTCCTTCTCACTGCCTTAAAAATGTATCCGCCGCCATCAGATGGAGGTGACTCCACATTCATAACTGAAGGGAAAACTCTTGAAAGATGCAGAACAATACTCCAGGAGTTGTAAGTCTCAGGACAGCAACCTCCTTTGTAAGGAAAAGTTTGAAGAGTTCACTCACTGGAGTGAAAAAATGGTCCTTGCTTTTATAGTTGTCACAATCCAGAAGTTGTGCTCAGGAAAATTAACACACAAAAACGCAGTCAAAAGGAACAGTCTGACTGATCTGGAGGCACTAAAACTCATGAACAACTGAAAAATGGCAGGGTGCTCTCCAACAATAGACACCAAAGGAAATGCTACCTCTTCCTTGAAGTTGTTAGAACTATTCCACCTGAAATACCTCCAAGCTTTCACAGACCTACATTCCCTGCAGTGACCTCCATGAACATTTTGTTTGCAAAGGATAGAATGTGTATTTTTGTAGGAATTCATGAGTTTGGAATAACCTGTTGTACAGAATCCTTTTAAAGGGAGGTTATTTTAATCTCTTCATGCTTATAAAAAATATAAAGTTTCATATGAAACTCCTTTAAAAGCTTTTTAACTAGAAAGCTTTATCTGCCTGTTTATATTCTAAGAAGCTGGATGAGTTGCTAAAGTGAAACTCAAAGTGAAGGAGTAGTTTCTATTTCCTACAAAGGGGAGGAGTTAAGGGCTGTCGTGTGTTTGGATTGCTCCATGAAATACTAAAAACCCCCAGAGATACAGTTTGGCATTTGCCAAAGCAATTCTGTAGAAGAAACTACTGACATTCAAACTCAAAAAACTTGATGCTGAAGATAGAAAATTCAGATAAGACAAGTTCCTTCTATTTCCCATCAACAGTATTCTTAGGTGCTGGAGTCAAGGGCACATTTTGCAGCCCTACCTCACTCATTATACTGCACGCCTACCTACAGTTTTTAAAACAGTATTTTTGTGGGTTTGGAGCTGCTTTATAACACCCTCCCTAGAAAAAAAAATGCATCTATAACAAATAAAAAATTACAGCTCATTTTTGAAAGCGAGCAGATGCGACGGGATGGCTTTTTATCCATGGCATGAGAAAAGCCACCAGAAAAAGATGAAGATAGAGACAAAAAACAACCCAAGTTGTTGCTGAAGAACATCAATGTCATAACGTCAAATCCAGCAGCCTTCAGAATGCAGTGAACAGGTGAGTGTCCTCCAGAAGACAAAAATACTAAACTGAGGGAACTTCAGGGGTCATGAAGCCACAGAGCACCTCAGAGATCGCTCCAGAACCGGCCGCAGGTCGTCTCTTCCCCCTGAGGAACCGCTTCACCCAGATGAGGACAAAATGACAGGCTTGGGATCGCTACCTTGGGCTCCCTGTTAGTATTTTAAGCTGCTCCAGTTCCTGACGATAAATTAGGACGCTGGAGAGAAGGGGCGCGAGTGCTCCAGCGTGATCCTCTGCCCCGAGAAGCTCCAG